TTGCACCCCCAAAGAAATGACGCCGGGCCTTGACGCGGTGCCGAGGCTTTGGGCCACGAGAACTCCGCAGCGGGGCACCGCCGCGAGCGCGACGGAGACCAGGACGACCTCACCCCTCGAGGAGGTTCCGCGCCGTGCCCGGTGTGGGGAGGTGGAGCGGCCTGCGTGCAGACCGGCCGACAAAACCGCACGACCGCTTCATGACAGCCACCCGAGCGTGTTGAATAGACACGGAATCGAGTGTGTCTCAGCCTTGTTCCCCCCGCCCTGCGCCACACCCCCGGGCCCTGCCGAGAACACGTCTTTGGACGAGATGCCGCCAGGTGTCCGGAACGCCTTGGTTGCGGCGTCGCTGCGCTGCGCTGCGGGGTGCGCCCGCTTCTGTTTTTAAAAGGGCGCCCCTCTTGTGGGCCTATTTGGCGCTTTCTTTTCCTCGGACGCCTGTGGGAACGCGTTTGGCGGCCTTGATACATAAAAATGCCCATGCGGTTTGGATTTGGCCACAGCGGCGTGTCTGGGGGCGAAAAATGCGATGCCGCGGCGGGGAAGGCATCGCAACTCGCACAGCCCGCGGATCCGCGGATTGCCACCGCCCCGCCCGGGCAGAGCGGCCGAAGCCAGCCACACGCATGGATTCCGCCCGCCACGCGCGGGGCGAAGAGGCCGCACTGGCCCACTTGCGAACGGGGGTTTTGCGCAGACGCAGGTGCCGGCCGCCGCTAACGAAAACCCCTGGCGCGATTAGGGCGGAAGAGAAAGCGAGGCGGTTCAGGATAAGCGGACGCGCACCCCACTCGCCCCTCTCCCGGGGAGGCGTGGGGCGGACAGAGGAAGAGGAGCAAACGTCGCTTCGCGTTTCAAAAGGAAAGGGGGAAAAAATAGATATATAAATAATAAATGGAAGAAAAATAACAATTCAAGTTCGGAGGTGGAGGTGGGCGGCGGCGGCCCCGCGATGCCCTGCGTCCCTCACGCGCCTCCTTCCGTATGTTTTGTCCTCTTTGCCCGCTCAAAACTCACAGAAACGCCGGACACGCTGACGGCGGCGCCGGCGGCCTCGTCGTAGTCCATCCAATCCTCGCTCAGGTCCACCCCCTCAAACACCGACCCCTCCGCCTCGACCACCCACTTGTCGTCCAGCTCCAGTTCCGCCGGGGACGCGCCGCGCACCTCGACCAGCAGGAGATCGCCGCCCCCGTCGGGGGTGAAGCGGCCGTAGCTTTCCGGGTCGATCGTTGCGGTCAAAACCCCTTTGCAGAAGGCGCATTTGAAGACGGCGTTGCGTGTGCCGCCGCCGCCGCTGTCGCGCGCCTCGGCCTCGTCGACGTAGACGAAGTGCGGGCTGGTCTCCCGGCAGCTGTCGCAGGCAAACTTAAACCCCCATACCCGAGGCCGGGCAGGGCGAATGGCCACAACCCCCTCCGTTTCCGCGCTGAGGCAAACTCGAAAATACGGCATACCCGCTCTCTCAGCTCTTCTTGCGGAGGTGATAAAAACGCCTTTACGTTGTGTTTTGTTGTCTGCCGCTCTATTATTTCCCACCCCCGCACCGCCCACCCCTTTCGACTTTTTTTTCCTTTTCCCTTTTCTCCCCCTAACAGAGCCACTGGCACGCGCACGCGCAAAGAATAAAAAAGAGAAAAGTAAGAGAAAAGTAAGCAAAAAAAACATGACGAGCGCAAGCTAACGACAAAGTGGTTGAATAATGCAGTAGAAAAAAAAGGGGTGTGGGGAATGAGAGAAATCAACACCCTTCCCCCCCCCCCCCCAAACCACACACACACGAGACACAAGCTTCTCTTGTGAACAGGCGCTTTTTCCTTGCTTCTTGCAGTCGTTCCTCGTGAGCCCCTGACCACCAAATTGCATCCGAGCGGTGTTCAGGTGTATATAAGGCCTCATGTGCCAAGCACGTGCCGCATGCAGTAATCTTCAATGATGCGCGTGCACGCAATGGCAAAGGTTCTAGCCGTGAAAGGGTAGTACGACTCAGGGGCGTTAAACATCACACAGTTGGCGGCAATGCGCCACACCGCTTGCTCAAGATCTTGCAAGGTCCGAATCACACCCGCATCATCGTCGTAGTGGTCAGTTGGCGTCTTACTATGTGCAGCCTCATTTCTCTCAAGAGCGGCAGTTGCCGCCACACGCCCGCGCCTCCTCGTTGGCGCGTTCCCTCCGTCCAAAGCGGCATCCGCCGCAGCCGCCCGCTCCTCTGGCTGGCGCAGTTCGTAGTCTCTGCGGGAGGCCAAAACCCTCCGCTTGATGCACATCAGCGAAAGCGGGTGCATGACAACCGTGCCGTACGGGCCCGAGCGGACCCCGTTAAACTCCATGATGGTCGAGGGATGCACCGGCGCCAGAAACACCCCCGCCCCGTCTACCAGGGCAAACTGCTGCACCAGGGCAATGAGGACGTCGGGGCTAATGGAGTCGTGCCGAAGGCGATGCCAGCGCCGGCGCTGCTCCGGGGTCAGCCGCTGCAGCGCCTCCCCTCCCCCGAAGCCGCCGTCGTCGTCGTCGTCGCCTTCCCTGCCCCGCGGCGACGGGACGAACAGGCTCGCCAGCGACCCGCACCCCCCACCGCCAGTTGAGGGAGCGGCGATCCCCGTGGGGGCGGACGGCGTCAAAATCCCGGCGCCGCGCGGGGCCGGTGGGGAAGTGACGCTCAAGCGACGACCTGCCATCGCCATCGCAGCGGCGGGGCCTCCGCCGCTCGCCACGCACTGCCGGAGTCGCTCCTCAAGTTGAGCTTCGTGAGCCTTGCAGGCGGCCTCCATCGCGGCACGGCTGCCGTGTCTTTGGAGGTAATTGTAGTACAGCTGCTCCACGCGCTGGGAGGAGAGAAGAAGCCTAGTAAGGGAATAGAAAAGCGCCGCAAGCAACGGCCAATCCTGCTCCCCCCGATGCGGGTCCACGAAGCGGACCAGCAACGCTTGCAGGAGGTCCTCACGACGCATCCCTCTCCAGACACTCCGGCCTGCCGACCCTCTTTGCTTTCTCTACCTCTCTGTGTATGAGAGAGAGATATATATATATGTAGTTGCCGACGTAGGAATATATTCTGCTGCTGCGCTTTAATCGCCCGCTCCCTCGCCAGCCAACACGCTGCACGAATATTGATGGTGTGCCCGCCTCGCTTCCGTTGGCTTCCCTTCTCCCAGAACACACGCAGAGAAAGAAATGAAGAAAATAAAAATAAAAATAAAAATAAAAAAGAGGCAGAAACAGAAAAAAAAAAAAAGTTAAAATGCACGCACGCAATCAGCCGTGTACGCAGACACATGTCTCCACTGCGAGGCTGTCCGCAGCACCACTCATGCGTTTTGGGCCCGGTTGCCGGGACCTGTTAAGCACAAGAGAAGGAAGTACGCACCGACAAGCAGAACGAGAAGAGTGAAGAGAGAAGAGGTAATGGAGAGAGAGAGAGAGAAAGAGAGGCGGCAGTCCCTCAGCGACGGCAGCATTACACTCCACTCCACTCCACTCCACTCCACTCCACTCCACCCCGCAGGCCCACAAACACTTCACGCGGGTACAGTCATTTCGGCTTTTTCGACGCCCCTAAATCCACCCGAAACACCTCACGAACGCGCTTCTTCTTCACCGCAAGCGGGTTTGGCCCGCCCACGGCTTTCCTTCTAGACCGCGTCGCATTTCCCCTTCTCATGCTGCTCTTGTGGCCCGTCATTGGCGCCGCCTTCGGCTGCGGGGCGGCCGTGGTGTCAGGCATCTTCGCCGCAGCGGCGTTGCTTGTCTCCGACCGGCGCCTTTTGTTTGCCCCTGCGGCCGGCACGAGGTCTGCCGAGAGGTGCCGCATGAAGGCCACATCTGCCGCCGATAGCACTTTGCCCCCCGCGGCCGCGGCCGACTCCTGGCGAGGGGTGCTGTTAGCAGCGCCCTCCTCGCCGTAGTGGAATGCGTCGCCGTTTCTTTCAATCCACAAAGCCGTGGGGGAAGTCGTGAGACGAATGAGGGCGGCGCTGCGTGGCAGCAGCCGGCGAACGTCGTGCGACTGCGTGGCGACGAAAAAAAAGTGGGCGTTTTTCCGCTCCTGTGCCGCGTGTGGGATGCGGCTCTCAACTGACCCCGCTGCCGCGAGAAACTGGGCTATCGCCTTGGCCTCGTTTCTACCGGTTGCGGCGGCCTCGCCACCGGCACACTCCAGCCCTGCCAAGAGCGACTCCACCATCGAAAGAGGGGTCCGGCGCTCATCACGCACCGCTGGAGTTGTCGCGCTCCCTTCATTTCTTTCCTTCTGCTTGCGTGGCGCCGAGGCAGTCTCCCACCCCGCTAGCCGCTGCTGGGCCATTCGACGAAGCGATGTGGCGGTTTCCGGCAGATAGTAGAGTGCGAGAGTCAGGTCTTTGGGCCTCCGCACCTGCGGGGCACCCGCGGCGCTGCCGGCCTCCGCCCCCGCCTCCGCCTCCTTCGAAACATGCGCCGTGGCGGCCGCAAAGGTCTCGTACATGAGCGCCTTCAGTGCCCGCGCCGGGGAGCGGTCACTGGCGCCCGTGGCAAGCATCAACGCGCGCAGAAAGGAGGCGTCGCAGAGAATACTGTACGCATCGAGACGAAGTCCGTGCTCGGCGCTTAGGAGTCTAAGTCGACGCTTGTTCGCGTGTGCGCGTAGCACCCTTCGCTTCATTGCGCGTGCACGTCCCCGCCTCTTTCTTTCGACGCAGTTTCACGTGAATGCGTGTGTGTGTGTGTGTGTGTGTGCGTGGGAGAGAGAGCGTGCGGGGTGGTGGTGTTCCGGCGCACTGACTCCGGCTGACAGCAGCAGAAGCGCAGAAGCCGGGAGAAGGGAAAAAAGGCAAGAGCGAGAAAAGAGGCAAGTGAGCCGCGCAGAAAGGGGAGGGGGGAGAACAAAAAAAAAAGGAGTTGAGTTCTCAGAGAATGCTGGCGGGCCCCCGATCCCCAGATGTGTGCGCGCAATTACAAAACACATCACGAGCCATGTGTGACGTTTATTCCTTTTTTTTTTTTTGCTTCCCTTCTTCCTCCTTCCCTCCGCCTTAGGGGGTGTCTTTACGCAATTCACTGCAGACTCCTTGCCCGCCTGCCTCTATGGCCGCAGGCTTAAACCTTCTCTAACACTGTCCCATGCCTTCCTTTTTCTTTTTCCTTTTTTCCCCCTTTTCTTTTCCTTCTTGTCGTGCTTGTGCGTGTGTTCCGTTTCTTCTCGTCCTCCCGCTCTCGCTTGACGTCGCCTCACACAGTTCCTCCCACAGCACACACACACACTTCCGCTCCCGCTCCCGCTCCCGCTCCTCGCACTTCTTCTAAAGGCGTGAGACGCCGTAGTGTTTCCTTCGCCGCCTTGTGCATGTTGCGGCGGTTTGTCTCTCGGCTCCATCCGTCGGGACGCGCCCCACTCGCCCACTGCGAGTGCTGGTGGTTGTGCGCCCACCAGCGGTTCCCCTCGCGTGCGGCACCTCGTTCACTCGAGCCGCCGCCGCCGCCGCCCTTCCGTCTCGCTCTCAGGGTCGCTCGCGGAGCTGCACTCCGAGTCGCTGAACCGCGTGGCCCGCCGCACCACCGCCTTGGCGAAGGCTGCGATGCCGTCCAAGTACTCCGCAGCGGCGCGGCGCTTTCGCCGCCGCCGCCGCCGGTGACCGCCACCCCCAACGTGCCCCCTGCGACCGTCGTCGTCGAAGGCGCTGGCGTGGTACTCAGACGTCGCGTCGTCGTCGTCGTCGCTGGCGCCGTCGCGGCGGGTGTCCGCGCCGGGGGCAGGCGGCAGTCCCGTGAGGCCGCATCCGCACTCCTCCGCCTCCGGCAGCGCGTCCCTCCTGCAGTCCTCGGCCGCCGCGGTGGGGCTCTCGGGCGACCCCGGCAAGGCAACGCCGCCGGAAGGGATCTCCTCCGCGTTGCCGACGTTCGCAGCGGCGGTGGGCGCCGCAAACGTCGGGTCGCAGCTTTTGCTGGTGGCTTCTGCCGGGCCTGGCGCGGGGGCGGCGGCTGCAGCGTGCCCGGCCGTGTCCCTTGCGGCGACGGTGTCTGGCGCAGTCAAGGCCTGCCGCCACTCCTCCAAAGAAGCCGGGCCGCCCAGCGAGGGGCGGTGCGACGGCGGTGCACTCCCACCCTCGCCGTGCAGCAGCGCGCGCGGGGTGGTTCGCCCGGACCCCGCGGCCTCCCTGCTTTCGCTGAGCAAAAACTGCTGCAGCAGCTCTGCCGTGGTCGTCGCACGCTGGCGAAGCTGCCCAATCTGCGTCAGCCAGTTCCGCAGCTCCTCCAGCTCCGCATCGATCTGCTTGCGCCGCCCCGCGTGCTCCGCGGCGGTAGGGTCGTAGTGGTCCATGTCCGCAAGGAGCTTTTCCAGCGCCTCTGCCTCCTCAATGCGGCTGGAACCAAGCCGACTTATGCGGCTGCGCATCGTCTCCACACGGCCGAGCGTGTCGTCGCACATCTGCAGCAGCGAGGTGAGCAAACGGGCGTTATCCATCAACTCCGCTTCGCCGCTGCTGAGCGCCTCTCCACTCTCCAGGAGGTGGGCGCCGTGCAGCCTGCATGCAAGAATGTTTGCCGTGGCGGTGACGTGCGTCTCCCACTGCGTCTGCAGCCGCGACATACAATCCTCCAGCGCGGCGCTGAGCTGCGAGACGGGGGCGGCGGCAGGCGGCACAAGCGCACCGGCGTGGCACGGAGGCGGAAGTGATGGGAGTTGGTACGGCGCTTCCGCCTCCTCAAGACTCTCAAGCAAACGCGTCCGACGTCGTTGGAGGTCCTGAAACGCCCGCGCAAAGGCCTCCACCTGCTGCAGCATCCGCCTACACTCGGCCAGGTCTGTGTCCACCTTGGCCCGGCCCCGCTGCAGGTTCGCCGTGTTGAGCGCAACAGCCGTAGCAGACGACGGCGACTGAAACGCAAAGCTCTCCGTCATGCAGCCCGCAGGGGAAGAGGCAAACCCCGCCGCCGCGGCGCTAACGCCGGACTGCAGCTGCATGAATTGGTGCAGGCACGTCTCACACTCGAGGAAGCGCTGCTGGGTGCGCAGGCGCGCCTGAGTGTACGCTGCCAGCGCCTCCACCATGGCAAGGACCGCCGTCTTTTCAGCGGGGGGCACAAACGCCGCTGCCGCGTACACGCGAAGCGCCTCTGCGCACGCCTCCAGTGCGGCCTGCGGGGCGAGGGAGGCCGCCGCTGGCGACGACATGGAACTCAGGCCCAGCGGCGCGGCGTCGGCGCCGCGGCCGTGCAGGCTCGACTCCCCCTTCTCCCCGGCCGCCGTCGTCGCCGTGGGTGAGAGCTTCCTTTGCCAGTCCGCCTCGCTCCCTGCGGGGCCCGCAGCGAGTGTGTCACCCCCCTGCGCAGACGAGGATGCAGGCCCCAGCACCTCCGTCCCGGCCCACTCGCCGGGTGGACCCGCGGGCTGGACGGCGGAGAGCGGCGGCACACTCACGCGCGGGTTCCCCCACATGGAGGGCGGCGGCGACACCCCAAACATCGCGGTCGAGGCGCGGAGTCTCTCCGGGAGGGGCAAAAACGCAGCGCCGTCAGAAGAGGCGCGCAGCGTCCCGGCGGCAATCACCGTGAATACGTTCGACTGGCTTCTGCTTACGAGAGCGCCTAGCGGGGGTGGAGGGAGGAGAGGAAAGAGCAGCGTGGAGGCCTCCACCCAACGGAGCAACAGAAAACACACAAACACAAAAAGAAGAGAAAGAAAAAAAGCAGGAGGCAGGGACGAAGCGGATGTGCTGAGAACAAACCCGCGGCATCGGCGCAACGCCATGCCACGTTATTGTTGTTGTTGTTGTTGTGTTCCCCATTTCAAAATGTGTCAGGCACCCGCTCGTCGCTGGCGGAGCTATCCTGCCGAAGGTACACGTCGGAGTGGTACGACCGCCGCCGTGCGCCTTCCTGCGGCTTCGCCCCCGCTGGGCCCAGCGCGGCGTCGAGGAGGTCAAGTGCCGCCGCGCTGCCGCCTCCCACCGGGTCGCGTGGGGTGGCGTGGGACAACGAGAAAGAGGCGCGGCGGGGCGAGTCACGGGTGGCTGACCGAGTGCCCTCCGCCCCGCCTTTGCCGTCGTCCTCTTCCGCGCGGGTGCGTGCTGGGGCAGGGCGGCTCGCGGTGGGAAGGGCGGCGGCCACGGGCGCTGCATCAGGGCCCGCAGAGGCCGACTGCCCCTCCCCCAGCGCCTGCTGGTAGACGGCCTGCATGTGCTGCAGCTCCTTTAGCGCCTGCTCCTGGAACAGCCTGGCGCCCGCGCGTGCCGCTTCCGCCTCGCACTTCCAGTGCTCCACCTCCGCTTGCAGCGCGGCAATGCGACTGTCGTCGCCGCCGCAACCTTCAGCCCGCGCGCGACGGCATCGACTGCCCTCCGCCGTGGCTGTCACGGACGCCGCGGCAACACCAGCGGCCTGCTGCTCCTTTTCGCGGTGCAGCAGGGCCAGCTCCTCCACCGTGTGCCGCACGTGCTCCTTCCAACGCCGCCGCTCCGACTGCGCAAGCGTGGACTCGTAGGACGCGCCTCTCGTACCGCTTTGCGCCGCAGCAGCGGCAGTCGCTTCCGCTGTGTGCTGTTTCTGCAGTTTTTCCAACTCTTCCTGAAAGCACCTCTTGGCGTTCCTCTCTATCTCCTGCACGCGTTGGAGAAGCCGCTGCTGCTGCTGCTTCGCGGAGAACTGCGTGTCAGGAGCGAAGCCGCTGTCGGGGCCGGGGCCAGCGCGAAACCGCTGCCGCAGGCGCCGCTCCGACCCCTCCAGCAGCGCAACGCGCAGCACGTCGTTTTCGCGTTCCAGCTCGATGATGCGGCGCAGCAGACCCTCTGCGTAGCAACACTGACGCGGATGCAACGCCGCACTCGCACCGCAACCGTCTGCGCAGGCGGCGGCCACCGGTTGGCCCAGCAGGCGCGACGCCCACGCACCGCCGTCGTCGACGCTGCGAGCAACAGGGGGAGCAGGAGGAGGAGGAGGAGGAGGAAGGAGCGGCGGCGGCATCCCCCTTCTCGCGCCCTCGCCGTGGCACACACGCACCTTCTACAGCCACCGCCGGTGCATCGCACCGCAGCAGCGGCAGGGAAAAAGAAAGAGGGAGATGGATAGACAAAGTGGGAAGTGAAGGAGGGGATAGAAGGAGATGCGGCACGCACGCCTACATGCGCGGGTGTGCAGGCAAGCACACAGGCACAACTGCAGGGAGGGAGCTGCCGCTGGCAAATGCTCTCGCCTCTGGCCGAGGTCCGCTTCCTCCTCCTCCTCTGCCCCCCTACAAGCCTTAAAAAGGAGAAGGGGGGGGGGGCAGAATCCGGCGGGGCGTGCGCCCAGCCGCGCCCCCTGCCTCCTCAGAGGCGTTGCCGCCAACACACACGCACGCACACGAACGCAGACGCAATCGAGTTTAAAATACATATTGGCCGGGGGTGCCCGGCCCCCAACGCCCCCCCCCCCCGCCGCGGGGAGCAGATCAGTTAACGCGCGCAGGGAAGGGAAGGATTTATACATATACGTCTACATATATATATATATATGTATATGTGTGTCTATGTATATATATATACAAGCACACACAAAAAGCCTTACTTAGAGTGAAAGCGGGAAAAGAAAAACAGGAAGAGGAAGGGAAAGGGAGAGGGGGGAGAGGGGGGATCGTTAAGAACAAAAACAAAACCCGGAAGAAAAAAAATCTCTAAACATCTACTTGGCCCTCCTTCTGGTCGCACGTTTGTTTGCAGACGCCGCTGAGACCCACGCAGCCCGACAAACAGTCAAAACAAAAAAAACACGAATAAAAAGAAAGAAAGGGGGGAAAAAATACGCACTGTGCACCACGCACGGACACACGCGCAGCAAAAAAAGGAAAAAGGAAAACGATGATGTGCGCAAACGCACGTACCCACAAGAACCCAAAGTTGATGTAAGCAGCCGCAGCATAAACTCAAAAAAAAAAAATCGCGGAGAAATGTCGGTGGCCACACCTGGGAATTAGGGTGAGAGGGATCAAATAGGCGTGGTGAGAAACACAGAAGGAAAGGCAATGTAGAAAAGTAAACCACAACAAATACAAGGAGGTGCGGGGGGGGGGAGCAGGTACACATAGAAACAGATATATATATATATATATATATATCTATATATGTCGATCGAGAGAAGAGATGAAGGGAGAGAATTGTATATATATATATATACAGGTAAAGAGTTATATAGGCATTTAGGCATGTAGAAAAACAGATATATATATAACAGGTAAATCGGTATATAGATGGAGAAATCAACACAGACAATAAATGACGGAATAACGCGGGTGGAAATATATATATATATATTATATATATAAATATAGGTATATAAGAAAAAAAAATACAACATCATCACCATCTCACGAGAACTTTGCTTGCGTTAGCCGCAGTGCTTGGGGGAGGGGTGTATTGGCGCCTGGCTACCGCAGTCGTGCTCAGTGGATTACGCACCACGGCGGCGCTTCGAGGCGTCACTCGATAAAAACTGGGCACGCTACCACGCACCCACCTACTTGCCTGCGTGAATGACCACGTACGCAAGCAGTGTTCCGTTGCAGGCATACATCTCCCCATTAATGGCCGACGGCAAACGCCATCGCTTCTTCTCCAGACCCCAAAGAACTTACGGATTGCGCCTCCACCACCACACGCACACACTCACACGGAAATCTCATCCCCGCTCCGGACTTGTTCTTGTCGTTGTCGGCCGTTTATTTTTTTTTAATTTTTGTATCACTTTTTGTTTAATTTTTATGTATTTATGTTTTTTTGTTTTTGTTTTTTTGTCTTTTCGTTTACTTTTTTCGCCGAACGCCGTTGGTTCGGCTGCCCCTACGTAACGATTAAAATGCCACGCATGGGCGGTGTCAGTCCCCTTTTTCCCGCGACCACGCCTCTCACCCCGCGCCGCAGTGAAAGCGTTGCCGGAGCGTGTCCAGCGCATGCGCATGCGCCCTCCGCCGTGCCGCCCTGTACCCCGGCAGCCGTCGGTAGCTGTCAAGCTGCGCCCAGTTCACGCACTCGGGTGCCGGCGCCGCAGCAGCAGCACTCGACCCCGCCTCGCACAAGCTGACGCCGGCCGCCCTGGAAGACGCCTGCTGCCCCCTCGACGCGGAATACGCCCCCCTACGCGCCGGTGTTGCGGCTGTGTCGCCGCCCGTGACCGCCCCCTCCCGACGCACAGTCGCTGGCACGGCGTCCGTCTCCGTAGCCGCGCGTCCGCCTGCCTGCAACGAGGAGTCACGCCGTGGCGAGGACGGCGATGAGAGTGAGAAGAGCGTGCAGCAAAAAATGCGCGAGGCAAAATCGTTCACCGCATCGGCGGCAACGGCACGCATCGGCGAGTCCCGCGGGGCACCTGCCTCAGGTTGAGTTGCCGGCGTCGCCGCCGCCTTCTCGACGAGCGACGAATCCACCGGCAGAGCACTCCCCGCCCGCAGCGGAGGCCACGGCTGCGCGTTGCGCGCCTCCGTGGGGCGCTCCGGAGAAGTCGCGGACGGCAGACTCGGGCACCTTGCTTCTCGGCAGGGACCCTCTTGTGCGACACCAACTTTTTGCGCCTGTGGCAACGCCCCCCGGTCTTCGCAGCCGCCGTGTTCCTGCTCCGTCAGCTGCGGGGAATCAAGCGCCCGCCGCTGCCACTGCTGGCGACGACGTCCACCGGCCCAGACAACCGTTGCGCCGCCGAGCATGGTGGGAGTCGAACACTCCTCCAGCGCAGGGAGCCCGGCCTCGGGGGTGGTGAGGCACAGAAGGGGAAGCGCGCCCTCGTCCCCGCCACCCGGTGAGGCGGTGGTGGTGTGCGGCGTATCGGCCGCCCTGCAGCCGCTTGGCGCGTCTCTTGCAGGCGGGGTGTGCATATCCGGCCGCCTCTGGATGCTGCCGGCGCGTTGGCCGTCTTGCAATGACAAGAAACTGCCTTCCGCGTCGTCGCTCTTGGAAGTATTCATCGAGCCTGTCTGCGAAAGGGCATCCCGTTGCATCGCCGGCTTCCCCGCGCCGGTTGACAGCGCGGTCCTCTTCCGTGCGTAGGCGGTTGGTTTGGTGGGCCGCACAGGGGTCAAGGAGGCCCGCTTTGCCTTCTCCCTCAGCGCGGAGCCCGTAAGCTCCACATCTCTCCCGCTCTTCATTATCGCGCGCCCTTTTTCCCCCGTTGCTGTTGCTCCTTTCCCTCCGCCTCCTCCCTCTCCCTCTCCTGCTCGCGTCGCAGCCTCCGCGCGTGCGATCCCCCGCAACGTCGCGTGCAGCGGGAAGCAGGCTATGACCGGAAGACTACCGGCCACAGAGAGCGTTCACTGTACTGGTGTCAGTTTAAATAAATATATATATATACTTAATGTATATGTATATGTGTATATATATATATATAACCAGAAGTGCGTGAAAAACCTGTGTGTGTGTGCGCAGAAGGAGTAAGAAGAAAAAGAAGGGGCAAAAAATCCGGTGAAGGTGGACATTGGCGGCGGCGTTGGTGGTGCTCACAGCATGCAGGGAGGACCGTTCCCTCCATTTATCCCTCGCTCCCTCCCCCGCTCTGTGTGTCTCCACCCTCTCCTTCTCCGTCTCCCAAGTGTTTTCCTCGACTAACACCACAGCAACGCACGCACACTAATCTGCAAACCCAAACAAAGAAACAAAAAAAAAATCCGCACCCTTGCGGGGACACTCCCATCAATAAACCCCCAACCCTGACGTCGATAACCTCCGTCTGCCCCTCACTGCATCCCGTGCATGTACGCGTATTATGTATATATATACACATATATATATATATATAATATATCAAGTATATATATATATAGCCCATATGTGAGGGCATGGAAGACGAAGGCAACGACGAGAACAACTTCTGAGTGTCTCACTGGAAGCATCAGCGTGTTTTTTGTTTTGTTTTTTTTGTCGTTTTCCTCGGCTGTCGTACCTCTACCGTCTTCTCCGCACACCACATACGCAAAACAAATATAGAAAAATATATAACGACGTAATAAAGGCAACCCCCCGACTGCCACACAGACACACACGCACACGCACACGTCCCCCCTCTCTTCCGTCCCTCATGGCGTTAGTTTTATGGTTAGTAGTAGTAGTATTATTATTATTAAACTACTTCTGCTTCGTCCCGGCCTCCCCGCCTCCGCGTTTCACTTCCCCCGTTCCTCGGCCGCCGTGCCGCCCTCGTCGCCCCGGGCCGGCCCACAAAGCACCCACAAGAAAAAAAAAAGAAACAGAGGAGGAAGAAGTGCCAAACACACGCAAGCACGCAAAAAGGAGCAAAAGGCGTACTGTGGGTGGGTGGGTGGGAGGGGGGGAACGGGGGCGGCGCAAGCGCAGGTCAATGCACAAAAAAAAAACGCTTTTTTTATTACAAAATAAAAACACCGCGAAAATGGTCCAAACGAGCGAAAAAAAAAAAACGTCAAACCCCATACCTGACGAGAGAGGGGGGGGAAGAAGAGATATGTAGAAAGCAACCGACGACGCGGTACACAAGCGTACCCAAGGACAAATGTCAGGAAAATTGAAAACAACAAACAAAGAGGGGACCCTCCCACTTCACCGCCACACCACTGACGCCGCGTTGGTTTCCTCTCGAGTGTGACCTACCTCCATCCATCCGTGTGTCCCCACGCAGGGCACACGTACGCAGGATGGGTTTCTGGAAGCGTGGGGAGGTGTGTAGGAAGGCATCAACCCGGTTCCGCAAATAAAGACATCTTTATTTATAGTTACAGTTATAGTTATATATATATATACACACACGCTCATTTACACATCTTCGCCCTCGCACTCTCTTTCTCTTCTTCTCTGTCATATGTTATGTGCATTCCTCTCAGCACACGCTGCGAGGGGAACAAGAAGAATAAAGAAAAAAACGAGGCAAAACACAGAAACATTCAAAAAAAAACGCCCACACGCACGCACGCACGCACGCAAACACGCAAATAAAAACAAAAACACAAACAAAAGCAAAAACAAAAACAGCAAGATAGAAAGAAAGAAACAAAACGCAAACATACACGCACAGGAAAAATAAGGAAAAAAAACAGCAAACCAAACCAAAGCAAAGCAAAGCAAAAAAAAAACAGTCATACTACGCAAAACAGAAAAGGCGCCAGCAAATGGAGAGAAAAAAAGGGGGCCAAAGGAAAGAGAGGGAGTTAGAAACGCGGCTACCTGGTACAAAGTTCCTCACGCTTCTATACATATAAAGTTAATTCATTAAATTTGTGGAAATATATAGATAGATATAGAGACATATATATGCATGTATATATATTATATATATTATATATAAGATGTATTCTGTTCCATTTTCAGTTCCCTAGTCCACTCCCACACAGTAAGTTCTTGTGAGTTTTAAACAAATTTGTCGTTGCTGCCTCGCTCGTCGTCCCTGTTTTCTCATCGGTATTATTTATTTTCCTCGGTCTCCTTGCTTCTCTGGTGGGGAGGCCGTTGCTTGCCGCCCCTCGGTTCTGTGGTGATGCTTGCTCCCATACCTACGGGT